CCCCCCCCCCGAAATCGGGCAGGTCTAGGACAGTCTGAGAGTCTGAAAAGAAATCAAGAATAGAGAAGGGTCCTGTTTCAAGTTCTCCACCTGTCCTTGGTTCCAATTCCCTTTGAGTGAACGTTCTCAGGCCCACCTCCGTTCGTGTATACAGTTAACAAACATCCTCCCCGAGCCGGCTACGCCTGGTAGCTGAACTCAGGACAAACCCGTTGGGGCTCACTTGGGGTCTTGAATTCTTCCTTCCCTTGCCGAAGCCTGACCTGCACAGCCCGGAACCGGGGTGACTGAGAATTAGCGCCCGAACTGGGTCTAACCCCAAGCTCCGGATTGTCCCCTAAGGAGACCACATCGAATGATGATTTTCAAGACAACTATCGATTCAGTGGTAGCGAAAAGTAAGCTCTGTTCTCAAGTCCCCTGGTCCCGAAGCCCTCGGGTGGGGCCCGCGCAGGCGCCCGGCCTCACCTCGCCCCGCGGCGCTCGAAGTCCGTTCCAGAGGCCCTGTGTGGGGCGTCCGGCTGCCCCTCGGCTCCTGAAAACCACGTCGTGTTCGCTCGAGGGTCTCCGGCGAGGACAGGCCGGCTGGGTGTGCTCAGAGCTGCCCGCGGGGTTCAGCCCAAGAGCCGAGCGGAGGTCGAGGGGCTGGGTGGAGCAGAAGCTGAGGCAGGGCAGTGGGAGCGAACCCGGGAAAGAGACCTCACCCTCGGTCCGGCCGCAAGTGATTAACAACGCTAATCATAATAATAATGATAATAATGATAATAATGGTATTTATTGTATTTGTTATATTGCTTGGGTTCTTTGGAGACAGGGTTTCGCTTTGTGGCGCAGGGTGGCCTCGCGCTCGGGGGATCCTCCTGCCTCAGCCTCCCGAGTGCTGGGATTAAAGGCGTGAGCCACCACGTCCGGCTGACGACGCTAATTATTAATCGTGGCTAATCATTATCGCCTAGCTCTTTGCCTGCCAGGCACTGGATTGCCCTTTAATTCCAAACACTCAATGATGGAGACACTATAGGGTCCCCCAATGTGTACAGAAGGTGTTTGTACTGCAGAGAGATTGACTCTTGCATCTCCCTAGGAAAACGCCACCGCGGTGCCGTGGGAAGGTCACAGTCAGGCCCCCACCGAGTCACGCCCCAACCCATGCGGAATTAGGCTCGACAGAGGACAGCCGGGGAGAAACCCGAGGAGGGTTCCGTACGTGATTTCTTCCCGCGGATTTGTGTTCTGTTTCTCCTCGTGCCTCAGGTGCCCTTCAACCCGGCGCCGGCAGAAGCCCGGATTCTTCCTCGTCTGTCCCCGGCGGCCCTGCTCCACTCCAAGGTGGCCGGCGCCGCCCTCCTCTCCCGGATCCTGACGCGCGGGGCTGCGGGACGGAGCCGCTGCGCGCTCCAGGTCCCAGCCGGAAGCGGAGTGCAGGTGGGAGCGGAGGAGGCAAAGGAGCGTCCGGGGCCAGACGTATCCCGCGGTGACTCTGTATACCAGGCTCTGTATGGTACCCAAGAGGAATAGTACCTGCTCACACGATTTGGGAACCCTTCACCTCTGCAGAAGGTAGACAATCTAGAGGAACACTCAATGTAGGAAAAAAATAAATGGAATCAAATGAGAGTAAGAACAAAGCTGTCCGCGCGATCAGGCACATGGTGTCCTCTAAAATTCCACACCTGTCCCTGATCACATTTTGTTGGAAGTGGGGGAGACTCATAGTTCGTATCTATCCCCCACCCCACATTTGGGGAAGATGTTTAGAAATTTCTTTCCACGTTAAATCAGATTACAATCGAAATAGTAGTCTTGCTCTAGTTGCGAAAGTTACCATCTTGTGATTTCTAGAGTTCAGTCTTGGTAGCTGTGTTTTCCTATCAGCGCTGACATTATTTAAATGGGGTTTAAAATTCATCAACTCCATATTCACTACTAGCTGCAAAGAACTTATATGGGTGATAGCTGATAATATTGAAATTCCCCCCCCCCAAAGAAAAGAGAGATAGGAAAAGGAAAGGGATTCGAGAATACATTATGAAATTCAGTTCAATCTCAGTTCCCTGTTGCCATCTACCTTGACATAGTAAAGGTTTACCTGGATATAAACTTCACTGTCTTATTTGTTCTTAAAATACAGGATATGTTTATTGAAATCAGTAATTAAGAATATTTGGGGGCAGTTATGATTTAGTGAAGCAGTCTATTCCTAAATCTAGGCTGAAGGAGCAATGCGAGATTTTCTTTTTTCCAGATACTATGATTTTGTTATGTATAACGGTAACTGTATTTAAAGCTATATTATGGTTCATAGTTTCTAAAATTAAGGTGACTATTATTGTATTATCCAGAGCATCTTTTGTATAAGAATAAATTGTACTATGTTTCAAATGTTATTTTTCTTTCACTTTTAAAACTCATTTTTTTAAAAAATAAAAACTTCAAATGCATAGGTTGAGAGATTTGAATAATTAACCCCTGTGATAATTATATCATATATTATGATATATTAGAGCGTAATTAATCCCTTTGCTGGGCCAACCTTATTTCATCTTTACCATCTGACAGTCCTCTCCCCACTAGATTATTTTAAATCAAATCCAAGATATTCTATCATGTAGTTCATAAATATTTTTGAAAATCTAATAGATGAGAATGCCATCATTGTAGCCACATTCCCTTATCACTCCTAAATAATTCATTGATAGCATCACTTTATCCTGGTAATATTTAAATGTCTTCAGCTGTCTCCCAGCTGTTTTGGTTCAAAGTTGGGTAGTTTGAACTAGCATGCTCTTGAGGGTCCGTTCATCACATTTAGGGTTGATATGGTCGTAGTCCTTTTGAGGAGACTTTTCTTTTCTTTCTTCTTTTTTCCTGCATTTTGTTGAAGAAACTATATGGTTTGTCCTGAAGAATTTGGCATTCTATATTTTCTGACCACTGGTAAGGCTTAAGGTATGGCTTCTTATTTATACTGTTCCATTATCGGTAGTAGGGCAAGTGTAGGTCTAGGAAAGCTTATGTGAAATTTCCTTAAATGTAAATATAATATTTTCTTAAAACTTTCAAAAATAGATTTTCATTTTTGGTATATTCATAGGCATATAAAATTGCCAATCAAATATTTCACCCAAAAATTTAATTTAGTTTTATTTTGATGAGAAGAAAGCTCTTTATCGCTTTAAATTTTTAGCTGAAGAATCAAGGGGATTTTATCTTTCAAAATTTTATGTTTTATATTGTTTCGTGTTTTAGAATGTAAAAGCTAAAATGTCATACTTTTCAGTGAGGGTCAGGGATAGGGTAAAGTCCCAATTTTCTGCTTATGAAAAAAATAATTTAAGGTAATTCTAAATTAATGAGACTAGCATATGAAAGAAATCAGACTGAACAAAACATTGACTTGACAATAAGAAATAAGTTTAATAAAATGAAGGTAGCTAGCTTTTTTGGCTCCGTATTACTTTAATGAGTATGAATACTAAATAAAATTTCCATTCTTCTATTGTACATGAGGCTTCTGTGATTTCAACTGTCTCATTATGCAGTTATTTGCCCAGGTTTCTATGTGTACTTATCTGGAATCTTTGGGAAAGTAGAAGTGAAATTGTCTTCATTTTTATATTTCAAACAGTTCCTGACACATTGTTAAAAGTACACAGGCAAATTAAAAATTTTAATATTAGTAAGCATGTAAATGAATGATATATATATATAGATGGATTTATACGATATGCATTTAGATGGATATAAATATTATTCACATTAACAATATTGTTTAAAAAGTGTTATCCATTCAATCCCTGATACCAAAAAAGAAAGTGTTATCCACATTAGAACAAATAGATTTTAAGAAAGGCTGCATTTGTATGTTATAAAGCTGATATTAATATGTCATAGTCTTTAACCATTTAATACTTTTTTGGTAAGTAGCTGATGTTATATGTAGTG